AGTCATACATATGTAGGACTTACTTTAATGGGAATATGAGTTTATTTAATCTGTTCGAGGCCAAAAGTGTGAAACACTGTGTAGAGCTGGTTTTGGTAAAGAGGTGAAGCACTTTGAAATTAATTGGCATGGCAAGCGAAGGGCATTTTAAGGTTGTACCTCTGAAAGGTAAAGTAAATACATATGCCAGGATTTTGAAGCATTAACAAGGTGTATGGAGCCGCAAGCCTTGTTTCTGTCTCCACACGGAGGGTTTGGGCCAGATACCATACGGCAAGACTCCTTCAGAAATAATTATTCCCCAGTGCTCTGTGACCCTCTGGGGGTCAGAGGAGCCATGTGTGAATAACACATGTGATTGAGGACATAATTGTAGTCAGTAAATGTTTGTCAAGAAAAGGTCCAGCCTTCACACTTAACCTTTTGATCAGAGCTGCAAAGAAGTGAAACAATATTGAAGTCCTAGCTCCTGGAGTGACAGGCCTCATTGGCAGATAGAGAAAGAGGACTGAGTCACAGACACCCTCTGTTCGGTTTGAGATGTCCTTTTCAGGATGCTTAATCCCAGTTTCCCACCCTCCAACTCCAGACCTGCATGTACCTCCCTGCAGACTGCAGCACAGGGTAGCCCGGGTACCCTGTCTTTCCCCGGTTCCTTCCCAAAGTGGGTCCCACCTTCTGGGGACAGGTGCTTCCCTCGGAGGCCCTGCTGTTTCTCCTAGACCCACACTGAGCTTTGGGCTGTGTCGCTGTCACGTAAGCCCTGACACTGTTGCTATCTCCCCTTGCGCTGTGGCTTCCGTGGCTGTCCCTTGCACTGTGGCCTCCGTGGCTGTCCCTGTGTGTCTGGCTGCTGCTCCAGGGAACTGCTGCTGTCCTTGTCCCCCTTGAACCACACCCAGACTACGTTAGGAATAGCAGGTAGCAGCCTGGGCGTTTGGTGTCTTGGGTTCGTAAGCAAATGCAGCCAGCTCTGCATGCTAGAATGCTTGGATTGTGTGGCTGGTGTTTGAACCATACCCCCCACAGCTGAACCTTGGTAAGCAGCGCAAGTTAAAGACGGGGCCTGCTGCACATTCAGCCAGCCCAGGCGTGCTCTGCATGGGCAGTGTGGGTGGAAGACAGATGTTTGATTTTAAGGTAACTGTGTACCATATGTGAGGAATAGGAGACATGGAGGTACCTGGAAAGATAAAAGGATTAACTCAATGTCCTTTTCTTGACTCTTAAAAGAATTCAACCTTTGTACTAAATAAATCTCACCTCACACCAGGCAGAGAGGGCAAGGTGACTCCTGAGTGAGAATGAGCGTGGACGGTGGAAGGGCTGGGTGTGTTATGTAAGGGGCTGGCATGGGATGAGGGCCGAGCCCCCCACCGCTCATGGCCCCTGCCGCCTCCTGCTCACCAGCAGAAGTGCCTGAGCCCAGGCGGGCAGGTGGTGGGTGATGCCAGCCTCTGACCCACAGATGAAGTCTGGACGGGCTTGGGAGTGAAAGATGCAATATTGAGGCAATCACACCCTGACAGACAGCACCAGCCGTGGTGGTGGGTGCCGTGGGCCCCTGTGCTTGCTGGGGGCTGTGGCGGGTCTGAACCCCTGATCACTGGATCATCCTGGGGTAGGGGACAGCCTGGCTGAGCTCCCACTGATGATGTCCTGTCCTTGCTTTTTCCTCTGTGAAGGATGGAGGCTGCACGTGTCCAGGGGATGTCGCCAAAGCCTTTGGTAAGGCCGGGCCCTTGTGCAGAAGAAGGGAAGGAAGGAGGGAGGGAGCTCCCTGCACCTCTCCAGGTGGCAACCTGAATGAGGAGGGGGACCTGCTGGGGAAGTTCTGGGCCTGCTTGGAGTTTCCTTTCCCTGGGTTTCAGCCCCAGTTGGCCCAGATCCCAGCATTGGTTTGTTTCTGGTCCACGGCAAAGCAGGCCACAGATGCCCCAGGAGACGGATCTAGGGGTAACGTCCTGCAAGCCAGGAGTGGGTGAAGTCATGGTCTTTTCATCCCAGGGCAGAGGAGGCTCTGGGGACCTGTCCAAGGGGACGGTGCCAGTTGTGATGTGTGGGAACTACAGAGGGTTTTTTGGAGCCAGCCTGGAAAAGTCCTGCAGCGGTTTCTCACTGGAGGCTGGAGCCAGCCTTCCACTAGGGGGCAGCAGTGCCTGCTGTGAGCCCTTGGGATTGGGGATCAGGGAGCCGTGGTGGGAGGGCAGCAGGTCCTGAGCTTTTCTTGGGAAAGCACTAGAGGTCAAGCATCTCAGCACCACAGGCAGTAACTTACGGCTGTCAAGCCCCTGCTGGCCACTGATCTGCAGACTGCATTCAGAAGTCAGAGCTGGCCCTGTGGCTTCAGGCTCCAGAATATGAAGCTGGGGTTGTGGGTGCCAGCAGGAGGCAGAACTGAAGGTCCCATGCCTCCACCCTTTGCTGATGCCAGAAAAAAAAAGATCAGTCTGGTGCAGTGGCTCATGCCTGTAATCCCAGCACTTTGGGAGGCTGAGGTCGGTGGATCACTTGAAACGGGGAGTTTGAGACCAGCCTGGCCAATACCCCATCTTTACTAAAAATACAAAAAAAAAATTACCCAGGTGTGGTGGTGCACACCTGTAATCACAGCTACTTGGGAGGCAGAGGTGGGAGAATCGCTTGAACCGGGGAGGCAGAGGTCATAGTGAGCCAAGATCACCTCACTGTGCTCCAGTCTGGGTGACAGAGTGACCCTGTCTCAAAGAAAAAAATTATAAATGTTGAGCAAACAACCCTGATAGTGACAAAGGAAAACATAGGGCAATGTTCTTAGCAAGAAGGTTTCAGAGCAACCCAAAGGATGTCATAAAAAATGGGATTTAACCTCATCCTAATCCTAGATCCTATCTGTGGAAGGGAATCTACAGACCCTCCACTGATCCCAGCTTCCTATTTTATAGTTGAGGGAACTGAGGCTCTAGGAGGGAATGACAAGGTCACAGTCCTGCAGTCAGGGGCAGAAGGAGGAGAACACAGTGCCTCTGCTAACCGGGACTGTCGCATACCCTGTGTTGTAAGGATCGTCGGCCAAGGGCAATTTTACGATTGTGTTTTTGTTCGTTTTTGTTTTTTTGAGATGGAGTCTTGCTCTTGTCACCCAGGCTGGAGTGCAATGGCACGATCTCAGCTCACTGCAACCTCCACCTTCCGGGTTCAGGCAGTTCTCCTGCCTCAGCCTCCTGGGTAGCTGGAATTACAGGCACATGCCACCACGCCTGGCTAATTTTGTGGGTTTTTGTTTTTGTTTTGTTTTTGTTTTTAGTAGAGATAGGGTTTCTCCATGTTGGTCAGGTTGGTCTTGATCTCCCAACCTCAGGGGATACGCCCGCCTCAGCCTCCTTAAAGTGCTGGAATTGCGGGTGTGAGCCACCATGCCTGGCCACGATTGGTTTTTGAGCTGCATCTACTTAGCACAGGTGGTGGTGCCTCTTGGACTCTGTTGCCTCACACATGCTCTCTGTACAGAGAGAGAATCGAACACACTATAAAGTGAGTGGTTGTTGAGAAGGTGCCTTGTAGATCACAGTTCCCGGGCTTTGGACCACGCTCAGCTCAGTCTCCCTTGGGTGTCATTCTTTCCTCCACTGTTTGTCAATCAGTACAGCCATGCTTATGCAGAGACTCAGTGGAGGGAGAGGGACCGTGTCAGGGAAGGATGCCAGAGTGTCCTGAAACGAAAATGGCTGGGAACCCGTCAAAGCGTTCTTTCACTGTGTCTGTGCTCCATGTTCCTGCTATTGACATTTGCTCCTCTGCTTTGCTCCAGGAATTGTGGTCGTCAGGAATCCTGGCTGGACACCAGTTATCCTCTGGCTCCTTAAAATCATGGCAGGAGGACCAGGGGGCCAGCATTCATGTTAGGAACCCCGGAAGGGAGGGAGGGAGGGAGGGTCTTCAGAGGTAGCTGCCATGTAGGAAGGTTGTGTTGTGCCTTGCTTCCCTGAGTGCCAGAAATGCACACCTTTCCATCACGCTGAGTGGAAGGGACTGTAACGCCAATGCGAACCCCAGAGTGCTCTACCGATGTTTAAATGACCAGATCGAAGGCGTCAGGGCCACATTGAGGGGTTCCTACGTTTTCTCCTCCTAATTAGGATTTGGCAGGCTCCCCTCCTCCTTCATCCTCTTGCTTAATGCATCTGTACCCCGCTGCCTGCCGTCTTGTTCTGTTCTAAATGTAAACCCTCAGCAGGATTTAGGACGGGAGGTTGTAGCAGATCCTTAGTTAATAGGCAAAGAAGAATCTCTCTGCACAGTGACCCATGAACAAGATGGGGACTGAGAACTGTTTTTATTATTTCTCTCACAAGCTCCTTTCCTTTTTTGACAGCTAATCATTTAGCATCTACCATGTGCCACGCACATGGCTCTACCATAGAGCCAACCCTGGGCCTGTGCCAGCAGAGCCCACAAAGCCAGGCAGCTTCAGCACCTCTGCCTCCTCTGTGCCTGTCCTGGAAGTGTGGTCATTTGGTGATGATTAGTATGGCGGAGCATCTAACATGTAGCACAGCGGTGGTGTGGGGAGAGTTTTACGAGGCTTTCATGACACAGGGGCGGCTTTCCTTGAAGACGTGTCCAGTGTAGGGGGCTCGTTCTGTTCTGAGGCCCTTTCCTGACCTGTAAATAGCACTGGTAGTGTCAGAGTGCAGAGAGCTTCAAGTACAGACCAGACACCTGAGGCGCCATGCATTAAGTATAAGATTAGGTAAC